AATAAAATAAGACAGAGCCTTTTTTTCAGGAAAACATGGTATACTCAAACATATTTTGTTGAAGTTCTATTATATTCAATTTTTTATATTCTCCCTGTAAATGGAAAACTACTATAGCATAAAAGAAGCTAGAGAAGATCTTTGGGTTATCTTCCCATCCCTTGGGGGGGGAAAACATTACTTGTTGAATAAAGCAGTGAAGTCTACTCTCTCTTCATCTAGATTCTACCATACTGTTCTGCTGCATAAGTAGACTAGGCCATATAACACAAGACAAAAACATAGTTTATTATAGACAAACTTTGAAGTTTGTAAAGTGGGTGAATAGAAGCTAAATGTTCTAATTTTAAACACTCTTATCCAGAATTTGCATTACTGGAAAGGGAAAGATAATGTTAACTTGTGCATCCATTTTAATTTTGTAATTGAGACATGTCTGGAAGACTGGGTGAGTTAGTGGAGGGACATAGTGGAAGACAAGATTTGAGATTTCAGTGTGGCAAAAAAAAAAACACAGATTTCTATGTACAACTCAAAACATTAAATAATTTCTCCAAGGATTTGCTATGAAATATTGCCTGACTTAACCCCAGCAATGTTAATAATTCAGCCAATAATGAAATTGTATTTGTACTCCCCTCAGGCTCCTTTCTATTTTATGCATTAAAATTCCTTTATTGCTTCAAAATAAAAGCCCCTTAGAGATTAGAAATTGTGGCCTATTTTGTTGTTGTTTGCTTTTCATTTTGCTTTCTGAGAATTTCAGTTTAGAAAATTGATTCACAGGAGACTAAAGGAGTGGGCAGTAGGGGGAGAACCCTGATGATTTGTAAAAATATTTGTAGCAGTAATAACAGTAATAATTCTCCATTTATGATCAAACAATCTGAGGACAGGGAAGAAGAAAAGAGTATGGTAGTTTTTTAAAAATGGTAAGCAAGCAGTGAATATAATAGAGGAGAATATAAACAACAGCTGTTTTGGGACTCTACTTGGAAAACATATAGTGATAGAATGATATTTATCTGGAATAATTCAAATTCCAAATAAATATCTATCCACTGTTGATGATAGGTTGCATGTTCAGCCTATAAAACAGAATTCTGTCTTGCCACTGCAGGAATAGAAAATGTAAATAAGCAAAACTATGATCCATTTATAATAAAAGTTAATGTATAAAGGAGTCAATTGCTCTGTATTAGCGTTTTCCCAAAAATCTTCTAATCTTTTGTCCTCAAAAGCTGGTCTGACCAAAATTTTTAATTACCTCAAAGTATCTGGCATTCTGTCACATCATTGCCTGAATTCTGGTTGTCTTGCAGTAGGCAACACTTTACAAAAGATACAGGGAAAAAATCCCTCTGTTAGGAACTAAAACAGATTTCAAATCCACTCTTATGAATAAGATCACTAGGGAAGAATGGACACTATTTCTAATGTACTTTTCATTATGAAATTGTTTTTATCACTTCTTGAATACCTGAGGCATGTTGGATAGCTCCAAGAGAGAAAATATTGTTCTCGCTTACTTGTCCACTGCCATAAAGACAGCAGTATATTGATTGTGTGCTGGGGAATGGTTGTTTATTAGAAATAGATTTGTAATGTAACACATGGACTGTTTGCTCATGGGAAAGCAGTACTGTAGGAGTTTAGTCAGAGGGTGTAACTGAGTGAGTGAAGTTGAGACAAGGCCTTTCCCATCATTGCTGCCTCCAGACAGGTTGGATTAGCAATTGTTTATGGGAATTGAGATTCAGAACATCTGGAAGGAATTAGATGGGGAAATATGAATAAAGAATAGAGTTGCTGGTTGTGGACAGTGTATACATTTAACAACAGGAAAAAAATAGAATACAGACTTAATTGATTGAGAGTTGTTATGTAAGATGTTGCCTAATACAATAAGTGAACCAGATCTCTCACTCTTTCAAAAAGCAGTGTAAATCAGAGAATGCTGTTTCCTCTGGTTGGAGAAAAAAAGATTTTAGTGATGAAGATCTCACTCAGGAAAAAAACGTCTTTTTTCATGTGTGACGAACTGGCAGTCTTGTAATGGAACTAGCTCCATGGAGAATTCTACCCAATGTTCATTATTATTATGTTTGTTACTATAACATTAAAAGCTACATTATTTGAACATACCTTTTGATTGGTTTTAAAGATGGATTCTTCTGAAGGTGGCAAACACTGCTTCAATCTCAATTACTAATGCTGTAATCTGGATAAAATGCATCATTGGGATGGGAGAGAGGGTGAAAGGGACAGACAGAAAGAGAGATACAATGAGAAAAAACAAACAATAATTAAGTAAATAAAATAGTGCGCCTTACTTTCTGTAAAAGCCCTCTCCAGAGCATCTTCTTTTTCAAAAATTTAAAAATTTAAAAAATTTAAAAGAGGGCAATCCTACTTTAACATGCCTCTAGAATAATAGAGATGATAGATAGATAGATAGATAGATAGATAGATAGATAGATAGAT